CATCGTATATATATTATTTCATAGTGTGAGCGATGTGGGAGTGTTAATGTATGTTTATTTATTTCATAGGTTTATTTGTCAACGACAATGAATAAGTACATCTTCTCATATAACTGGAACGGCGTTTGGAGTTGATATATTTAGAACCTACGCTTCACATGTAATAATAGTATGACGTCACGTCAACAATGTTTCAACGTCACGTCAACAACGCATTGCGTCTGTAACGTTAACATTGTATTATGTATATGATAAGGTCGACTATGTAAGAGAAGAAGAGTCAATCATCCCCTTGAGGTAGATGGCCAAGCCTCGTTTTTGTTAACTTAAGATATTTCCCCTGGGCTTGAGACTTTCCCCTATTAACCCAAAGGGGCTGAACGGTTCTATTAGTGTTACGGTAGGATTGCAATTTTATGACATCAGGCCAATAAAACAATGACCTCATGTCAATAATGCATTAAGTCTGTGACGTCAACATTCAATTTTATATATATGACATGGGTAAAATGGTAAGAGAAAAAACATTATTAATCCCCTTGAGGTAAGATTATCATCTCAATCCTTGGAGAAAAAATCTCTCGAATTAAGATTCTCCTTCTTCATTCCAGAAGTGGTGACCGATTCGAAGAGATATTTCTGACCGGTTGTGCAGGGTAAGAGAAAAATAATCTTGGATTAGCATCTGTAACTTGTCTATTTAGACATTAAGATGGCCAAATACTTAGCAACTACATTCAAGCCAGTTTATGAGACGACATTGATTTATGTGACGATACATAGAACAAACTGAAAGACAATCGAGATTTGTGATGGTCAAACAATCAATTAAGGGGTGACCAATATAAATAAATCCTACGCTATATTTCTGCTCCATTACAGCATATGTCACCTGTCTTAGTGAGCGGAAATTGAGGTCTCACGTTATTGACAGCCTGGGTTTCATCAAGGATGTCCCAAAGCGGCGTCATAAATGCCACATTGTAGAGTTAACATTAAAAAAACTCTTTTGTTAAACAGACATGCCCAGCACGTGTTCTACTTACGTAGCACACAATGCCTCAAAATCATATCAAGGCTCCACAAATAATATACATTATCCCATGCCTTTCATGTCAAGGTCATCGCTATCTCTCCAACGTGTTGGGACCAATCGGATGAACTGCTTCCTGAAGCCTGCGACCTACAGTCTTGTGAAATGGTTCATAGAATTGGCCCCAACACCGAGAGAAAATAATTTTGACTTTTTAATGTAAATGCATGAAACAACTATTATGTAACCTGAATAATGAAAAACAGCAAATGCTATTAGAAATTGTGTACATTATGAGTTTCTTTCAACTCTGGTTGTTGAGCGCGGATCTCATTCAGTCAGAGCTTACCAGGAAATAGTAAAAACTATTGACTGGTAGATGTGATTGGTTGTTCAAACGACGGTCAACCAATCAGTTTTCTTAAGCTTGCCAAGCAACAGTCAACCTGAACTCATTTTACTTGGTAATGGACAAATCATGACACTATTTGATATACAGCTAGGTAGCTTAACTTTTTTCTAATGCCAACGAACAACTATTCTTGTGATAAATAAGGCTGTGACTGGTGAATTTCTTCCATCAACACGGGCAGACCTATCAAATGCCTTATTGAATAATGAACCACGCAATGTACAGTGTAACAGTTGAAAAGAGAAATAATGCCTGAAAACAACATCCAATGCAGCAGAAGTGACATATGACTATGTTGGTATACATTGTATCGATGAATTTAAAAAAAAAAAATGGTGATTTTCGACCTTGCAACCAATATTGATACACATTATATTTAACAATTTAAAAAGAATCGATGATTTTTTAACTTACGTCTATTATTAACATAAAATGCTGGTATTTGTACAATATACATTGTTTTAGATAGTTTAAAAATGACGATTTTCTAACTTACGTCCATGATAATATTGAAAGCAATTAAGGAAGTAAATGTACCATGTAGTGAAAAGCAGTACTTGGACAACTTTTGATTTTCTTGGTGATCTTTGATAAGGTCGTTCATATTATGAAAATGACATGTTTGCTTATAACAACATAACTTGTGTTTTTTCATTTTACTTTTAGTATGCACAGACATCGAATCTATGATTCTACATAATTCAAAAAGGTCATATGCTTGAGTTGATTAGATCGTTCAAAAAATAAAAAAGAATTACCGATCTCAACTTTTAAAGTGATATTAGATTATGGTCCATTGGGGTGTTATTCTTTTTAGAAAGCATTAAGATCTTAACGGCACATTTATTCTGAATAAACCTGTTTTTCTTCAATGAAATTATTGCTTAATGATTCATACATTTGAAAATTAAATCAAAATTACTTCAAAAATATCTTTTGATTCTCATTGTTGGATAAATAGTTTATTTTATTTTCTTATTTTTTTACTGTGTTGAATTTATTAAAAACATTAATGTGACTGAGTATAATAAATAATATAAAGGACTATTACTGGGACAACGTATAACAAAACAATAAAGTAAGTGACTGTAATTGTGACGGCGTATAAAGAACTATCAAGTAATTAGCTGTACCTAGGAATGCGTATAAAGAATAATGAATGTATTGGCTGTAACTGTGACAGCATATAAAAGAATTTTAAAGTAATAAGCTGTAACTAGGACTGCATGTTACAGAACAATAAAGTAAATGACAGTTACTGTGACTGCGTTTAAAACAACAATAAAGTCATAGACTGCCAGTGTGACATTAATTGACTGTATGGGGACTGCCTATAAAAGAACAATAAGGTAATTGACTGTATGGGGATGCCTATAAAAAACAATAAAGTAATTGACTATAACGGGACTGCCTATAAAAGAACAATAAAGTAATTGACTATAACGGGACTGCCTATAAAAGAACAATAAAGTAATTGGCTATAACGGGACTGCCTATAAAAGAACAATAAAGTAATTGACTATAACGGGACTGCCTATAAAAGAACAATAAAGTAATTGGCTATAACGGGACTGCCTATAAAAGAACAATAAAGTAATTGACTATAACGGGACTGCCTATAAAAGAACAATAAAGTAATTGGCTATAACGGGACTGCCTATAAAAGAACAATAAAGTAATTGACTATAACGGGGACTGCCTATAAAAGAACAATAAACTGTAATGTGGGTGCCTTTAAAAGAATGATAAAAAACCGACTGTAACTGAATTTTATATAAAATAACAAAACTGTAACTAACCTTAACTGGGACTGCCTATAAACGAATAAAGTAATTGACTGTAAAGGGGATTACCTATAAAATACAATAAAGTAATTGATTATAACGGGGATTACCTATAAAATACAATAAAGTAATTGACTATAAAGGGGATTGCATATAAAAGTAAATACAATTATTGACTATAAAGGCGATTGCATATAAAAATAAAAATAAAATACAGTAATTGAATATAATGGGGATTGCCTATAAAATACAATAAAGTAATTGACTATACCGGGGATCGCCTTAAAAAATACATAATAAAGTAATTGACTATAACGGGATTGCCTATGCAAATATATTGAAGTAATTGACTTTAACGGGACTGCCTATAAAAATACAATAAAGTAATTGGCTATAAGGGGACTGCCAATAAAAACACAGCACGGTAATTGACTATAAGGGGGCTGCCTATACACATATACTTAGGTAAGTGACCTTAACGGGACTGCCTATGAAAAAAACAATATAGTCATTGGCTATAACGGGACTGCCAATAAAAATACAACAAAGTAATTGACTATAACGGGGATTGCCTATACAAATATAATTAGGTTAGTGACTTTAACGGGACTGCCTATTAAAACAATTAAGCCATTGACTATAACGGGACTGCCCATGAAAAAACAATAAAGTAATTGACTTTAACAGGGACTGCCTATAAAAAGAACCCAATAAAGTAATTGACTTTAACAGGGACTGCCTATAAAAAAACCCAATAAAGTAATTGGCTTTAACAGGGACTGCCTATTGAAGTAGACTGCAACAGAGGTGCCTGTTAGAGAACGATATATTCATTGTCTGTAACTGTGATTGCGTCTTACAGAACAATAAAGAACATGTTATTGACTTCAGGCTGGATGGTCTATTCTTAGACATACATGTATGGTGGTTTATACAACTTTGCAAATGAACAACTTCGTTCCTTTTCATAAATATTCATAATTTGACAGAACATAATTTAAGTGCGATCGCTGCTCATGGTTTTCAAAGTATTCAGTAAAGTTCTTGACCATAAAGTTTTTCTGTGACCACAATAATGAATCTAGGATTAAAATATGAAAAGAAAACATTGGCCATGAGGTTAGTAAATTAGGACGTTGCACATATAAAGATTTGATGATTCCACATCATTTTCCGTTTTTTTTTCCGAATTGTTTTTTTTCTCTGTTTATACACAGACATTGAATCTTTTCTGATCAAAACGTCTATTGTTCTTACTGTGTGCACATACCATGAATCAATAATCAAAACGTTTATAGAAAATGTAGGCATTATGCTTGGATTGATTGGGTCGTTCCAAATATGAAAATTATCGATATCGACTTTAAAAGGATCATTTAGATTGGGATCCGCTGGAGCATAAGTCCCTGTGACAGTTTTATGAAAGCTTTTAGATTTTTACAAAATGCTCATCCTGAATAAATGTTTTTAAAAAATATTTTATGATTTACACAAATCTTCTTAGTTTTATAATGCAATTCATAACGTTAAAGTTGATGTCCAAAAGCGGAAATGTTAAGGTTCAGCCATTTAAAAAAGATAAGATTTTCAAAAAAAAAAAAAAGAAAGTTTTTTATATGAACTTATGAAAAGATATTTGAAAAAGGTAAATTGGTAAGGACACAATTTAAGGATGCATATTTATCATAAAGATGTAAACAGAAAATCTTAACATCTAAAATAAAAGCAAAAGTCCAATCACATCAGCTGATTCGAGCTTAAGGTCTTTGTGCTAAGTGTTTGCATTTGCAGTTTTTGCGGGCAACGATGCCGATGAGGTGACATTGACTTCACTCGGAGAAACGCTTGCTATGCTTTTCCTCTTTTCATTTCCATCTTCACTTGTGGATGATCCCCAAACTTTTGAGTAGGCATAGAACAGAAGAAAGTTATTCACAAATATTGGAATAATGACAGCGAGGAGACACACCCCAGTGACCGCGCAGACGGCCCCAACGAGTTTCGACAGACCAATGGTCGGATAGACATCCCCATATCCAACAGTAGTCATGGTTATGATAGCCCACCAGAAGGCGTCAGGTATACTCTCAAACACAGTGTCCCCCGAAAAGAAGGCGAATGCGCCGAACATAAGCATTGCGACCACCAGGAACATGGACATGAGCATCACTTCCACTGCACTCGCCTTCACGGAGTATAACAAGACACGGAACCCGATGTAGTTCTTGACAAGTCTGAAGAGACGGAACACTCGGACAATTTGTAAACAGTGGACGATGTCAAAGACAGACGCTTGGTACTTGTCCTTAGGGTTAATCGCATTGACAACGTATTTTGAATACATTACCAACAGAGCGAAAATGTCAACCAGGTTGAGAAAAGAAATGAAAAATTTCTTCTTAAAGGGACAGAATATAATCCTAATGACGAGTTCAATTGTGAAAAATGTGACAGTCACATATTCTAAATACATGAGAAAATCGAGGCTTGTACCTGTCTTTGGAAGCGGAGGTACTGTCATGTTAGTGAGGTCACTTCCGTCGAAGTGGGCCTTGTACTTGTAGAAATCATCTCCAAAAAACTCCCGCCATTCCGCCAAGTTCAGAGGTCGCTTGAACGTTTTATGTGTTCCTGAAACCAGCGCTGATATGGAGACGATGACAAAAATAGCGCTGACGTAGAAGTAGATCTGAAACAAACAAAAAAGTGAAAATAATATATCAATCAAATCTGGAACCACCTAATATTACCTTATTTACAAAAATTGAAATACCCATTAATAATTTAAGTATCAGCACTACACTGTTCACTTTATCTCGTCTAGAGAAAGATACAGGTCGCACTTAAAATTTGTGACGTCATCATTTCCGTCACAACAGAACTATTAGCCAATAATCTATGCTAACAGAAGCATAATTTGCCATGGTCACTAGACCTAAAATTCACGAATGTTGACAATTGATAATTAGCAACCTACGAAAATAAGTGACCGCACTGAAAAAAATATTTTTACTTTCACAGCTAACAAAATTGTGTTGGTGATTGCCATACTAAGTGGACTCTACTTTGAAATTCAGCTCACAATAATGACCACTTTCCCATAAAGACACCCGTCAATATAGACAATCTGTCTATAATAGCACATTCTATGAATACCATATCTGCATAACTATAAATACCGTTCTTAAAATATCCCTTATGACATTTTCTACATACATCACTACAGTCAACCTGTCTTTGGAGCTTTTGCACGATTTCTCTTAGAAGTTATTAATGAACAGCTGTGACGATAGATTCTTTAATGAAGAGTTATTTTAGATACGTAACACATTCTTAGTACTCATCTTTCAAGCGTGTTATATATTGATTTTCTCCCTGCTTCAATCTAATCAACGAATATTCAGTAATTACTTCCGAGGGCATTGCACAAAGCCAGACATCAAATAAACATTAAGTTAAGGTAATTAGTGCTATGAAGTTGGAAAGCATTGAACATGTAACATGATTTCTTCCTCAAGTGTCATATATTTAATGTATAATCTTAGTAATTACTTCCGATATCTTCCATTAGAAAATACATGAATGATAACATAATTTCTGTCGTAGCTTTCGTAATTAATGCTTTAAAGATGAGAACATGCTCCATAATGAACAGTTATCTTCTGTCTGAAAAGGCTAACAAGCCATATGGTAAAATATTTTTGTTTTTTCAATTCTTTTTTATCCCTTTTTTTTTCCTTTTTTGAAAAAAAGTGAACTTCGTTTTTGGAGTGTATAACGTTACTTAGTGTGCAAAACTGATTTATTAAACGAGAATGAAAATAAAATTAATAGAACTAGCCTACGGCAACAATCCGGCCAAAGAGATATGCTACAATGTACATGTATTTTAAATTATCATATATTAAGAATTTTTATACACCCCCCCCCCCCCCCCCCCGCTCTTATGTTTTAACAGAAATTTAGAACTTTTTGGATTTCCAACTTTTTTCCCCATAATTTTATCAATGAGTCATCGAAGTATAAAAATGTTTGATGCAGTGTCATTTATTTTTCGGCATACTTTATTTATTATTTGATTTTAAAGGTGTAATCGCCTGTGTGTATGTGTGTTATGTTCACCCTCCTATTACAAAAACTGGATCAAAGTTGTTATTATCTCCGTTTCCGAGATATTGTGATCTATCTGAAAAACACACCTTTGGCTCAGCGGCGATCGCCTCGATATGGGTAGCCCACATCCGTGACGTCACAAGTTCAAATGAAGAAATGAGTTCCTACTGAGAAGCAGAGACATATAAAGCCATAGTATACTAATATATACGTCTCTGTGAGAAGGCAAATGATGTGCTGTATGTGGGTGTCCGAACACACATGCGGATGCTATCTAAATGGATCCGTGTTTTTACATAATTCGTTAATCTAGTGAATGTAAATATACTTTTTATTATTTAATTGATCTCTAGAAAATTTGATCAGCACCTTTATACAATAGACAGCAATTGAGTAAAAATTGAGTCAAATTAACGTAAACCTATTTTTTTATTCTTTATGCAATCCATGGAATTTAACCCATAATAGATATACACACCAATTTAAAAACAAATCGTGTAGAGGGAGAACCGGTCCGTTCAAGTCTCACAAAGATTAGTAATATATGATGTGCATAACAGGGCCCAGCGTTATTTACCTTGTTCAGAGACGTATATATGTAAGTAAATGTTTCATTTTAACTAATTTTCTTTATTTCATGATATTATCGCAAGAATAACAAAAATAGTCAGTTCACTTTAGGTGGGATGAGGACAGTTTTACCCAAAGGAAAACAATGTCATGTTGTTTCTCTCGGCAAGCCTCATGTTTTGAAACTTTAGATTATTTGTCTTCGGCTTTGGACCCCCTTAATGGACACACAATGGAATACAAGATTAAATTACTCTTCATCTTGTCTTATCTATTTCCTCTTTTGCTCTGTGCACGTTGTCTCCGTTGACGCATGGCCTTAAACCTACAAATTGCGGTGTGGCATTTGATATATTTTTCAGTTGTTGCGTGGGCCTATGTCATCTTTTAATCTTAGCAGTTATGCCTGATCAATGATTAAACTAATTAGCCGATCAATCGAACCTTGCAATCGCGTTCTAATTTACAAGTCTGTATGTGATTTCCTATGAATGTGTGAACCTTAAATAGCACAGGAAAAAACAAACCCAAAAAAGCCGTCTTTTATATCAACATACTGTTTGAACCAATTTATATCATTAATGAAATAGATTTATTTTGTATCAACCTCTTTTTATCACCAAGGTTGAAGAAAGGTTAATCAGGACGGATTAAGACTGGTCGTCTTGGTAGTAGAATGTCGTAAACATTTTTGATAATTTCAAGCCACCGCACCACCATCAAGGATGCATAAAATATATGGTACAAATTGATGACGTTACCCTGGTAACGCTACATCAAGTGATGACGTGATTACGTTTTCAGAATATTCACGCATGCGTGTTTTGTTTCCCTAGGTATGCAAAGACAAGTTTGTACATTCCCTGGCAATCTATTATTATCATAATCTAGTAATGCATTAACCAAATTAAAAGGCTTATTCTTTCTATTAAATGACGTGAAGCGTTGAATATATATACAACTAAAACTAGTAACAAATAATAAAATGTACTATTTCTCTCATATCTGTGCGTATGTAAAAGTGATATTATGTAATAATATAATCCAGACAATATTGTCCTCCATAAAATCATTATTTGATAGATTCCTGTCCCACTACATGAAAAACACTAGAGAGTTCTACCTCAGTTTTAAATACATAGAGAAGCCCCCTTAATACGGTTTGGATATAACTGTAATCAGTCTGGGTAAGGGATCTACTGCTGATCAGGAAACTCAGTAAGTAAAGGCGGTTCTTGGTTCGAACCCCGCCTTGTCTCGTTGCATTTGTTACTGTCAAAACACTTGTTGATTTCTGTTATTGCATTTTTATGTATATCTTTATTTCTCGTATTTTGAGCAAGATATATGGGCTTCTTTTTAGAAATTACCAGTAAAAATGGTTTCAACTTCATAGATAGTGTGTTGGCAATAGTACGGTAAATCTTAACATACTCTTTTATTCATTGATGTAGTTCACTTAACCCGTCAATATTGTTATAGAGCAAGTCTTATATATGTGAAATTAGTCTCTGGTTTGTGGCGACTTATTTTAAACGTTTGCTTGCTTCTTTAAAATTAATATTGCATCAGCTTTCCTGGTGTATGCATTTGATAACCCATTTGAGTATACGTTCTACTACAATGTTAACAAGTAATGTCATGCTAAGATTTCTTTTAAGCATCTGACTTCAGTTGATCAAAGGTGAGTTAGAGTTATACTTTCTACTACAATGTTTAACAGGTAATGTCATGATAGAGTTTCTTTTAAGCATCTGACTTCAGTTGATCAAAGGTGAGTTAGAGTTATACTTTCTACTACAATGTTTAACAGGTAATGTCATGATAGGATTTCTTTTAAGCATCTGACTTCAGTTGATCAAAGGTGAGTTAGAGTTATACTTTCTACTACAATGTTTAACAGGTAATGTCATGATAGGATTTCTTTTAAGCATCTGACTTCAGTTGATCAAAGGTGAGTTAGAGTTATACTTTCTACTACAATGTTTAACAGGTAATGTCATGATAGGATTTCTTTTAAGCATCTGACTTCAGTTGATCAAAGGTGAGTTAGAGTTATACTTTCTACTACAATGTTTAACAGGTAATGTCATGATAGGATTTCTTTTAAGCATCTGACTTCAGTTGATCAAAGGTGAGTTAGAGTTATACTTTCTACTACAATGTTTAACAGGTAATGTCATGATAGGATTTCTTTTAAGCATCTGACTTCAGTTGATCAAAGGTGAGTTAGAGTTATACTTTCTACTACAATGTTTAACAGGTAATGTCATGATAGGATTTCTTTTAAGCATCTGACTTCAGTTGATCAAAGGTGAGTTAGAGTTATACTTTCTACTACAATGTTTAACAGGTAATGTCATGATAGGATTTCTTTTAATCATATGGCCTCAGTTGCTCAAAGGTGTGTCCTGTTGTTTCGTCACCATTACCTCGTCTCTCGCTTTGAGGATAATGCGTTATTTAGATTTGACCTTGTTGCACCGAGCATATGTCGTTGATGAATGAAGCAGGATACGCTTACCCTTCCGGGACACCTTATCTTGTTTGTCTTATATTTTGCTAGGTTCTCCATATAACTCTTTTCTTTATTCATATTTTGCTCAATTTGTATTAACTCTGAGTTCTAATTATGATTAAGTTGTCACTTCGGTCTTCTCATTTTTTTAAGGAATTAGTTGTGACCAGCGGATGCAAAGACATACTTTTAGATTGTTGAGGAATGCCCAGCCAACATATTTTGGAATCCTGGTTATTCTGTGGACTATGTTAGTCCGACTTTTTGTTCATGACAATTCCTTTTTTGTATGTCAAATTATAAGAAATCCTTTTAACACAACTGCTCTTTCTATAACCCGCAAAACACTTTCAATACACAAACTAAGATACCCAACAGTGTGGCTAGTCTTCTTTACCTAAATTCAACTGTATTTTTCGGCATGACTATAGCAATTGTAAATCAGTTCTGAGAAGAAAACCATACACGGCGAAACATTTGTGAGGAAT